AGGCCGCCCTTTTCCCTGAGGGGACTCAGGGCGGCTTACAATAATAGGGGAGGGGAGTGCAGGACAAAACACAAAAAGAAAATGTGAGTAAAAATAATTTTCGGTAAAAACACAACATTCATTCAACATTCGGGAGGGGCGAGAGTAAAGTCTTATCCCCAGGCCTGACGGGATAGCCAGATCTTGAGGGCTGTGCGGAAGGCCTGGACGGTGGTGAGGGTGCGGATCTCCACGGGGAGATTGTTCCATAGCGTCGGAGCTGCAACTGAGAAGGCTCTCCTCCGCGTAGTCGCCAGTCAGCACTGACTGGCGGATGGAATTCGGAGGAGGCCTACTCTATGCGATCTGATGGGACGGAGGGAGGTAATTGGCAGAAGGCGGTCTTCTTTCTCTCCTCCTCTTCCTCCCCTGCCCTCTCTCCTATCCCTCTCTTCTTCCCTTACCTCTATCCTCTACTTCACACTCTTCATCTCATTTACTTGGTGTATTTCAGCCTCTGAGCAAGCTCCATTTTATATTGATGCTATTTATAATTCCTTTTCAATATACATATTTAATTTTAACATATATCTTTTTCCTTTTTTATAAGAGAAAAAAGTACACATATATAGTAATTTTTTTTATTAAAAAAAAACCAGCCTATTTTTAGTCAAGATGTAGATCTGGTTACAATTCCCAGCTATTCTCATCATTATATTTATATAATTATGCATCCTTACAGGCCTCAAATTTGTGATTGTCTTTATAATCTCAATAACTTTCCATTGTAAATATATTTCATGTTCCCTCTCCATTTTTCCATATCTTGACTTAATTACCCTTAATTGTCTTTAAATAACAATCCTTACTATTCAATGTTCATTACAATTCCCTTAATCTCCTATATAGAATAACAAGCGGTACACATCTCACTTTGTTCATCATCTTAGGAGTTCTATATTTGTCCATGTTTCATATATTTTAACCTTTATTTAATTATCTTTCCATTATCATATTCAATCAGTTAGCAACTCAATTTTATTATCATGCATAGGAGTAAACCACATATCTCAGTTTTATATTTCCCCATATAACAATTTCTAATTGTCTGATTTTTTCCTAGTAAGTCTTTTGTCTCTATTCCTGTCTTCTCCCTTTTCATTTTTTTGACAAAATCCAGATCTGTCCATTAATATTATTTATACTCTCAAGGTTCTTTGCCTTTTCCAAGTTCTGATTTATGACTGTGGGTTAATTAGATCTTCTTATCAGGTTTTCATCTCATCCTGCATACTCCTGCTCAGTTGCTTTGGCTGTGCAGCCATGTTTCCATGCTGCCGCCCTGACTCCAATTCAGAGAACAAATCTCCGACCTGTTGCACTCTCTCTGGGACTGATGCTTCCCCTTCTTCACACCCCTGAGGGGTTCTGATCCAAAAAGGATCTTGGAATTGATTTGCCAGACAGAGTTCACATGAGACTCTTCAGAGCTCACACACCACTTGTCTGTCCAGCTGGAGAACTTCTGTTCGAATCCTATCAAATGCCTTTTGTGCATCAAGGAAGATCAATGCCATTTGCTTCTCTGAGTGTGCTTCATAGTATGCCAGCATATTTAAAATTATGCTCATATTGTCTTTTATTTGTCTCTTTGGTAGAAAGCCATTCTGATCTGTATGTATAAATTGACTGAAAAATCTTTCAAGTATTTCTGCTATTATTGAAGCAAAAATCTTATAGTCTGCATTCAATAATGATGTTGGCTTATAGTTTTTTATCCATTGCAGGTCTGCTTCTTCTTTCGGTATGAGTGTAATATATGCTTCCATCCAGGAGTTTGGTATTTTTGCCTCTGACAGTAGTTAATTGAATACTTCCAACATTTAATTACCTATAGTATCTTGTAGTGTTTGTATAGTTCTGCTGGTAGTCCTTCCAGATCTAGTGTTTTGTTATTCTTTTGTCTTTTAATTGCTTCTGTTAATTCCATCATTGTTATTCTTTCTTCTAGTACTATTTTAACTGTTTCTGGTGTAACTCCACATTTTCTAAATATTGTTTTATTTTTTTTCTTCTGGAATTGTTTCCTTGTTGTATAATTTTTCATACAAATCATGAATTATTTTCTTTTTAATCATCATTTTGATAGAAAGAGATTCCTTCCTCATCTGTTAATTGATAAATCAGTTTCTTTTCTTTCTTCTTTTCTAGTCTATATGCCAGCCATCTTCCTGGTTTATTAACATTTTCAAAAAAAAATTGTTTAGAGCTTTTAATTTTTTGCAACTCTTCATTTATCAAGTTCAATTTATGTTTTTTTAAATCCATTTGATTTTTTTATATTCTTTTGGAGGGGGGATATTTTTGTAATTCCATCTCTAATCTTTTATATTTCTCTTCTAAATTATTTTGTGCTTGTCTCCCCCCCCCGCACATATGTTATCCCCCTCTAATATATGCCTTTGGTGTATCCCACACATTTTGCAGTGAAGTTTCTTCTTTTCTGTTCTCAAAAAAAAAAGTCCAGCTCTCTCTCCATAAATTGCATAAATTCCTTTCTTTCAATATTGTCTGGTTCATTATCCATCTTAACTTCTTTTTTTGTCCCTTCCATACAACTTTTATTAGATTGTGATCCACCCAGGTACTCATTTCAATATTTATTTCTTGTATATTAGATATTAACTCAGTTGACATCCATATCATATCTATTCTGGATCAAGACATGTATCTATTTGTGCAGAATGTGAATTGATTTTTCTTGGGGTAAGTTCCTTGCCAAGCAACTTGCATAACTAATTCTTCCACCATTAAAAAAAAGCTTTTTGGGAGTGTTTTCCTCATTTTTTTCCTAGTTTTATAATCCAAGTCTGCATCTATAATTGCATTAAATCTCCTACCATATATATGTTTTCCTACTCCATTTCTATTATTTTCTTTTGCAATTTACCATAGAAATCTTCTTGGTTGTTATTTGGTGCATATATTGCATATATTACTAAGAGTAATATTTTATAGTTCATTATTATCTCCACCATTAGGCTCTATTCCTTTCTTCCTCATCCACAACTATTTGTTCAGCCTTTACTGTATCTTTAATATAGAGTGCTATGCCCCTCTTACTTTGCTATAGAAGGGAAGCATATAAGTTTCTAATTTTTGGGTATTCCAGCATTTTTTGTGTTGCTTTTTAATATGTACTTCCTGTATGGATGTATACAGGAAGTACATATTACTTCCTGTATACATTCATATTGTATGCATGTCCAATTTTAATTTTTCTAATTTATTAAATATTTTTTCCTTTTTATTGCCAAATTCAGTCCATTTATGTTAATTGACATTAACTTTATTTGTTCTTCCATAATGTTTACTTATAGATGGGTCGCTCTTATCTCTCTTCTTTTACCCTTGCATATTGCTGTTTCTTCCCATTCTCTTGCATCTTCCTTTTGTTATATTTCTCTTTCCTCAGTGATTTCTTCTTGACATCTAAATTCTCTTTCCTCTCTTAGTTTCTCTTTCTCTAATGCTCCGAAATACCGGTCATAAAATTGTTCCACTTTCTCTATTGAATCCAATCTGTGCCTTTGCTCATGCCAAATCACCAAAATTCCTTCTGGTATCGGCCACCTATAGTTCACTCCTGTTTTGATTAGACACTTTGTCAAAAATTGGTATCTTCTTCAATCTCTAACTCTTCTCAGGATTTGTTTTAACACTTCTATTTCTTTCCCTTTATATTTCAAAGAATCATCTCTCACTGTCTGCAAGATTTCTGTTTTTGTTGCTTTCTTTGTAAATCTGGGGCTGCCATTGAAGAGCACCCAGAGGTTCAACTGGTCCAGAATGCGGCTGCACAGGTTATCATGGGGGCACCTAGGTGCTACCATGTTGCACCCCTTTTAGATGGCCTGCACTTGTTGCCAGTTGTGTTCCGGGTGCGAGTCAAGGTACTAATTATGACCTTTAAAGCGCTCCATGGCTTAGGCCCAGG